GAGTTCCCTCTTTCCCGTCGCGATGATTTCCACGAAGTGGACCAAGCCACTCGCTGTCCACATTACATTTCGCAGCAGAATTGCAACGTTTCAAGTGCGCCTGCTCTACAAGTGATGCGAAATTAGTCGACTGCGGCTTTCTTGCTTGGCTGTCCCGTTTTTCCACTGTGCGCTGCACAGCGTTAGCGCTAAGGCTAGAACCTCGAGGCACATGCACTGGCTCCCTCATCGGTGAATACTGCTCCGATGTAATGCCCTGTCTTGAACAGCTAATGTCTCTCTTATTACCCTTATTTATATGATGACGAAGGCACTCATAATCAGTGGGACGGAGCAATACCGACACACTCGTATTTTACTGATCGGTCACTGCGCATCGCAATTTCACAGGCTGAGCAGCGCTTCCCAACGAGTTTGGAAGAGCTAGAGGTACGTACAGCAGGCTTGCGGTAACACCATGCCCAAAAGCGTCAGTTAGCCTTATTGTGCCACTGCTCTCATGCAAAATCTCAGCGGATACCTCATTCACCCGTATCACCGTTATATCCGCACCTGAATCAACTCGCGCGAAACAGGGTTTGTCCTCTACGAAAATGTCAAACTCAGGTCTCTTCTGAGTGAGTTTTTCATGACGGCAGGGTGTCGTGACGATGTAGCTCGGCTCTCAAATGACCGCTCATTCTGGGCAGTTACGCAAGAAACTTCTGATTTATTAGCAGCTGTGTCACGTGACAGCTCGCAATCTCTTTGGAAGTGACCCTGCCGTCCGCATCGAAAACATACTCCTGAACTAGGGCCGAAATTAGCATTAGCCGATGGTTTGGCTGGCGACCTATAATTAGAATTTCCTGGCCCATCATTGCGGTAGCCACCGTGCTTGCGGCTGCCAAGGCTTTCTTCTAAATTGGCGGCTACTTCCGCAATATCCCTGGGCCTCAACCAACCCTTTACTTCCTGCTGAGTTACCAGCGAGCGGAGATCATCTGGCATTAACTGTTTTAGCCTGTCAGCTATCAGCAGCTCCTGAAGACCTTCAAATGTCTCCACTTCTCTACTTCTAATGTAGTAAGAGAACATGATCTCCAGGCGCGCCATCACTTGGCTTCCAAGACTCGCCTTCCTCTCTGTTGCTTTCCACAAACATACGGCGGCACTCGCTCGGAGTCATACGTAGCTCCTTTAACATTCTAGACTTCAAATTTGTGTTTGGCATCACCCCAGCCTCTGCCTGATTGGCCACGAATGTGCGCATCTTGTCACTTAGGAATGGCAAAAGGATTGTGCCCTGTATTTCTTTGGGTATGTTCAACGCCGCAAAAAGAGCGTCCACGCTCTTGAACCAAGCCGGAATCATCGGACTCACTACAGGGCATGGGCACTAGGACTGCTTCCAGCTCTTTCGCGTACCGTGCGATACTAGCATGCCGGTTCCGGTTTTCCGAGTCCTCTGACAAGGCACGCGATGACTTCACTTTCTCTAGCTCAAGCTCTAGCTTTAACACTTCAATCTCAAGCAGCAACTCGCGGGTGCGATCCGATTCATTCACACTGTCACCTTCCATGACATCTCGCTCTGAATCCGCCATCTCCCAAAGTGTGCCTGAACGCAAGTGCATTCAGTTTAAAATAAATTGGCGGCCCGAGAGAGCACAAAGCAGGCCTCATCTTATAGTGATGCATCGCCCGAAGCACTCGACAGTTGGAACTGCGTCCATCTCGTCACCAACGCTATGTGCGATGACTACTTCCAATACAGCAGGTCTTGCCCGATCACCCCTGTCACTGCTCTGCTCTCTGCTCCTGAAGCAGCGCCCTTTAGCGCCTCTCCGGTAAGTCCGTCGCTCAACGACGACCTTTGGCTCTGATCTCGTTCAGTGACGCGCAGTTCTCTTGCGCTGCCCAACTCCAGGCTCTAATGTTGACCGGCAAGCTCGTACCGAATGTCAATGCTGCTTCTCGCAGCGCACCAGCGGTTCCCGAAGGAGCATGCGTCTTGTCAGCTTCCCGGACATCAGCACCTTCCTCGCAGCGGGCTCTCCACTCCACGTCGACTGCGCCAGTTAATTTCTTCCTCCTCGAATTGCTTCAACACTAGCTAAGGAGGGAAGATGTTTGAGGTTCGGAATGGGTCCTTTCGATGATTCGAGTGCACGGTGGCAGTGCAAAGGAAGAGCCGTAGTCCGGTGAAGAGACGCTTTATTGCAGCCTCAGGCTACTGCCCGAGTCCAAGCCCGAACATCCGCTCTCCCTATTTCAGATTCAAAAATCCTCTTTTCAACCCTTGGTTGAACACAGGGTCTTCACACAAGCCAATCACACGTGTGGGCTCGCATTGCCACAACCAATTGCAGAAACAGTTTCAAAATAGACAATGCATTGGTAAAAACCACGTTACCAAATACTACATGCAAAGCGATAGGTTCTCTGCATGTGACACTCTCTCCCATTCCAGGCCATGCTGCCTCCGTCGGCCGACTTCAGTCGGCAGTCGTTCTCATGCTTGAGCCCTGTGAGCTCTCTCATTAAATGTTGCTTCGTAGGAGCCTCCCTAAGAGCTGGTGAGTACACCTTTAGGCTCCATGCGCTTATCAGGTGTGCATGCGACAGCGAGGCGCCCCGACATCCTAACAGCACTCAGTGAATGACGTACAGCGGGGGAGGTTATGCTCGTCTCCCTGCCGCCAGTATGTCTCAGTCAGCGAAGTGGTCGCTTCCCTGCGTCATTCTCAATGGCACGCGTGCATGCCAACAATGGCTCAAACTCAGACGGTGGCGCCTGACCTGCCTCTTGCCAGACGCTTTTCCGAGTAAGCCTTCTCCTTCTAATCCCGAACGGGGTGCCTTTGACGGCTCCGCCCGTGAACCGTGCGAACGAAGGAGTCTCCTTTCTTTCCCGTGCTCGGGGTCATTCCGCAGTTCGCCTTCACGGAACCGACCGGCTTTGCTAGTTGACGGGTCGGGAACTGGCTACGCGCTCTACATCAGCCGCATTAATTGCGCTACACCCAACAGGCTGGTAATTGGTGCCTCATACTAACTCCGACCCTTGTCTTTTCCCTTCACAAATGGCCTGCATTGGTGACGTGCAGTGCCATGATGCGTCCTTGCGTGCTATCATCGAGCGCCTCGAATCACCCTCTTCTGATCAGTTCCATTGCTCATTCGTGTTACATGATGGTGTATTATACGGACTAAATTTTGAGCCAGATGGACTGGCCCTGCTGCTTGTCATTCAACACACCTTCGCTCGGAAGTTCTACACGAACTTAATGACCTTCCGACTGCCGGTCACCTAGGTGTGTCATCGCGCTTACGACCGAATACGCCAGAGCTTCTTTTGGCAAGGGCTCGCACGCTCAATTAAAAGATACATTGCGTTTGCGAGAAATGTCAGCGCCAGCAAAACGCCATTGACAGCTTCCTCCTGGATGCCTTCAACCAATTGACATTCCATCGGAATCGTTCTTCCACGTTGGCTTAGACCTATTTGGCCCTTTCTCCTTGTCTTTCTCGAGCTACAGGTGCATAGCCATGGCTGCCAACTATGCCACGCGTTGTGCTATCACACGAGCTCTTCCAACAAGCTGCTCAACAGATGTTGTCAACTTCCTCCTAAACGAAGTGATCTTGCCACACTGAGCTCCATGACAGCTGCTTACAGACAGTGTCTGAAACTTTTATCGAAGGTTATAGCCAACATCTTGCAGTCCGTGTGAAACGAGGCACAAGCTCACTATGCCATATTGTCCGCAGACGAACTGGACTCATGGAGCGTCTGAATCATACTCTTACAGACATGCTCGCTAAGTATGTTTCTTCCAACCACTCCGACTGGCATTTCGCGTCGCCGTACATTACATTTGCCTATAATTTTTCATGCCATGACACTGCCGGTTACTCTCCTTTTTTTCTGTTGTTTGGCCGAGAACCAACATTGTCTCTAGACATCGTCGTTTTGTCCCCTGCAGTATCGACCAGCGAATATGCCATGGACTGCTATCACTCGGGCCGCCCATGCACGCGAAATCACCCGTACATGCTATCTGACCTTTCAAAAGAAGCAGCGACATTTGTATGATCAACGACACCGCGACGTATATTTTTTGCCCGATTGTTCAGTTTTGTTGTGGTCTCCGACACGTCAAGTTGGTTTATCGGAAAAACTGCTTACTCGCTACACAAGTTCCATACCAAGTCCTTCGTGAGGTTACTCTTGTGACATATGATATTGATCCTGCTGCCCCGCCACCGTCATGTTCCTCACAGGCTACCGATATTGTACATGTAGTGCGCTTGAAGCCCTACCACTCTCTCAGTGACGTTGACGTTTAGATGCACCGATACGCCGCTTCTGGCGCCGGGGATTATCCTACATGCATGCATATCGATGTTCTAAGGGGCGACGCGTGTGTGTGCTGAATGAGGAAGATGAAGCGTTGTCTCCTCTCGGTCGCTGGTGAACCGGTCACTGCCAATACTGCTGGTCCGAAATTATATCTCAACCACAGCTTCGTCAATATGGCTTCTCTTCTCTTCCATAACAATATTGTACTGAAGTGGGTTAGCATCCTGTTTATTTTCAGTACTGATGTGACAAGGTTAATAGCGAATTTCCAATTTTAGGTCAAAGGCTGTCATTAAAGAATAAGACATTTCAGCTCCCCCACCACAGCCTTGTTTACAGTCTTGTGAACAAAGCTCCCGTGCTGGGAGCAGAAATGTCTTGTTTTTTTGTTTTAAAGTGTTTGTATTGTGGTCAGCGTTTTGTTTTATTTTGCAATGCCTTTGCCTCAAATCCATGGAGTTCACAAAGCTGCCGTGTTGGCCTTCAGATTGGTAGTGATTAAGGAAGGGGTGGGGAGTTTTGACATTGTGCAAGAGGCCACAAAATGCGGTGCTGCGAGCTGCAGGTTGCAGAGTCCTGCTGTGAACCATGGGGTCCTATTATTGGAGAGTTACTTATAAGGTAAGGGTCCTTCTATTGCTTCTTTCCTTGGCAGGTGTCCTTGGTGCGCAGCTTGGGAGGGTTGCTGACACACCTGCGGGATGTGCTTCCCTTGTCGGCCGTGGTAAGAGTGGCTGAGCGGTGCCTTGCATGGCTGCCCGCCCGACCGCACCCTCTGCTGGCCCAAGCACGTCTACACGCGATAGAGCAGACCATCAGTACACTCCTGTGGGATCCCACTGACCATGCCGGTGAGTACTGGCTGGCTGCTTACCCACTGTCTATAGAGCAGTAAAGAAAAGTAGGGTTTGTGCCTCTAGCACCAGCCATCATCATCAATGCAGGGTGGAATGGGACCAGGGTTGATTTCCTTGATCCGCCCACCTAGCATGAAGGAAAACTGCTAGACCAGTTTTTAACGAAGTTCACTCAATAACTAAAAGTATACTCACTAACGGTACATTGAGGATAGCATTGAACAAGTTTGTCATTGTTGTCATCAAAATTTGGAAATTTATGTATTCTAGGTTCATTCCGACACTAGTGCATTATATCTAAAACAAAATACATCAAATAATTGCACTGTTCAAATATGTCTCTTGTCTTTGCCTCGGTGAAGGGGGGGAGGGCATCTGCTCCGCTATCTCTGTTATAACATGTACTCCTGAATAAGTGTGATTTTGGAGTATGCTACTGTGTTGTGCTTTGAGGTATTTTACTGTAAAATGAGATTCTGGATTGAAAGAAAGCTTGACACAGTGATAAGGCTGCAACAATCGTTTCTTCCATGTTCATGTATTGTAAAAGAAAAACTTTTCTTAAGTGCAAAATATTGTGAAAGAAACCTCACTGTAATACAGTCGTTCTTAAAAGTAAACAGCACTTGATTAAAAAAGTCCTCCGTTGAGGTGTTAACCTCCTCAAAGATGCAATGCATCTTGTTAACTCATCGCAGTGACAGACGAGTGGCGGCTTCGCCTTGTATGTGCGTGTGGAGCGGCAGTTGGGTCCCAGCTTTCTCAAGGTCGGTCAGAGGAGGCTGCCCTGTGCACCAAGGTGCTGGGTCAACTGGTGACCTGCTGCCGATGTTGGCGCTGCTCCAGCATTGCTGACACTAGTCCCACCACTTCTTGAATCTCTGCAAGCCTTGGAAGATGGGGATCCACTGCTGGTGAGAAGTGCCCCATGTGCCCATCATTTATTTATTTTGTGATAGCAATTATATGGACAATCTCAGCAGGCTTTGGCCTACGTTGCCGTCATGCTTCGTATAAAGTTCAAATCGCTGGCATTACCCAGTGCATGGTGTGTTTTATGTTCTATGCATGAGTAGACGCATGAAATCACCCAGCGCATGGTGTGTTCTATGTTCTATGCACGAGTAGATGTATGAAAGCGCTGGGGACGAAACGCGGCTGAAGCAGAGATGAAACGAGCCATTAATCTTCATTGCACGAAGGGTGCATGCAATAACGTCAGATCAAAGTTGATGGACCCTAGACCCTCAATGGGAGAAAAAACGCCCCAGCCGTTCCTTCTTTTGCCAGGTGGAGGATTATCTTAACAGACATTAGGAGATGGCTAGTAAATTTGCTTCGTGTTTAGAGGACAGACTACACGAAAACCGCTTTGTTTTCTGGTGTGGCCATATTTCTTTAAATTAATATTTTGTTGCGTTGTGCAAATGTTGTGTTCTCATGTGTTATCCACATTTGGCCCATCCCAAATACCGAAAACAGGAAGTTGAAAACTCAAGAAGTTGCCCAAAATTGCATTTCGAGAAAAATTAATTTTAAACATAGAAATGAAAACTTATCTATGTGGCAATAATGTGCTTTTTAATCTGATTTTTTTCTTCATGAGTGCTCGGAAATCATAGTTATTTTGAGAACGTGTCTTTGGTGAACTTCTGATGCAAAATAAAATGGCAAGCAGCCAGTGGAAAATTTTCAGGGGACTATAGACAAAGAGCTCGTTTAGTTTTCTGTAGCCACTTTGGGCTCTCTAAAGCGGATTTTAACTTACTTTGTGTTCAATTGAAATCTTCAGTTTTCATGTGAAAGTAGAGAAAGCAAACTTGTGAAAGCAAATTAAAACACAAAATGTGTAGTTTTGGAAAAAAACTTGTATTTTTTAAGTTGCATTTCCCATAAATTGTACTGTAATGCATGACCATTGTGTTGAAACTTCACCAGCTATGGTGGCATCTTCTGATGAAGAATGTGGGCCAATTCTGAAACACTGGTAAGTGCGGCAAGCTGGGCAGCTTGGTAAGAATGCATAACTTTCAATGTGTAGTGCAAGAGACACAGATAAAAAAAGATAGAGACGTAGACAGCACAAGTACTGACTTCAAACTGTGCTTATTTCGGAACACGTCCTTGCCCTTCGAGCTACACATTCAAAGTTACGCCTGAGACACTATTTGTCCAAGTGCTCTCGAAGAAAAGTGCAAAGAACCAGTGCGTGCAGGATCTTTCAACAGGGCAACTTTGCACAAAAAAACCATGTATGCAGTTGTGGCTTAATGGCTAAAATAATGGGAATGCTGTATTTAGTGCAATTATTGTTCAGTCTTTTTTTTGCAGCACTGTAGGCGAATCCACTTCAAAAGTGTATAACACTAAAACTTGGTTGTGTCTTCAGCATATGCGGAAATGATACAGTGTGTACTGAATCACAAGAACGGTATCACATATGCAAAGGTCACTTAAATAAAGTAGTGAGGAAAGTAACTTTTGAAACACATGTAGTTTCCACTACGATCACAATCTGAGGTGTTGTGTGGTGCTGGAGGGGTTAGCAGTGCTGATTTCTAGCCGAGTTCCCATCGCTGTTGTTGCTATGTTTATGTTGTCTTTTTTGACACTACAGTAAGAGCTCAATAATTTGACCCTCAATAATTTGAAAAACGGAACAATTTGCACATGTTGTCCAGTCCTGGCCATCATATACATTGTTTTAGTGGAATCAAACTCTTAATTAGGTCATGTTTGGCTGCAACCCAGTTAATTCAGACAATCCTAGGAGTGCACCAAGCAAGCAGCTCTAGATATGTGTGGCACAAAAGAGCGAAGACGACGTTTGCGGCCAATCGAAACCGGACGATGCAGTCCGCATTGCCATCATCATCAGTGAGAACCGTACGGTTGTGACAAGGTAGCCAGAATGATTCATTCTTATTTGTGTTTACCACAGCATTTGGCCATGGTGGCATTGTGGAAGAAGTTATAAATAACAAAAATTGGAGCTTTTACACGGCTCAGAATAAGTACAGCATTTATGTATTCGTCGAGGAAATGAATATTTTTTGTGTGATAGACATTTATTTGTTCATTGTTTTTTAATGCTTTCAATAATTTGAAATTTGGTGAATTTGTACAGTTTTTATAGCCTCTTGAAATTCATATTAACGAGGTTTTACTGTATAATCTGCAAAAACACAGGTGTGATCTTGTGTTCCAGAAATGTGCTCCTCTGCTCATGTTATGTTAGGTGGAAAAGTTTCAAGACACTTGTGACTACGCTCAATGAATCAATTGCTCCACCACTGGGGTGCATACAGGCAGGAAGCCGCCTTTCAAGCTTTGCAGTGTCTGTGCTTCTCAACTATCTGGGAAAAGGGTAGTGGAGTAATAATACAAGGCACAAGTAATGGCAGTTAGAGTATTCAGAAATTGGTATAGTTAGTTGAAAACAATTTAAAATGGCTAATGATGTTCTGAATGTGTGTGACTGAGAAGCACATTAGCCCGTAGTTATTCAGGAAAGCCTTGTACTGAATTCACCACAGAAAAAGGCAAACAGCAGGTGTTTTACTATACTATGCGATCCTTTGAAATATCTATGGATAATGAAAGGACACTTTAATATCTTTCATTTGGAATACTATGTACTGATTATGTTACAGTGTTAGGTGCTTTCATTGCAGTATTGTTAACTGGCAGTATAAATGTTTGTTTGTTCCTAAAGACTTCCTGTACTTGCCATTTGTTTGTTCCTGTCTTTGACTTGCCGGGCATGTGTGTTTTGTCGCTGTAGCTGTCTTTCTCTAATCTTCTTTCCTTTTCTGGGTGCCCTCCTTCTTCTATCTCTCATGGCTTGGGCTCAAGACTGACCTCAGCTTCTTCATCTTTCTTCTTTGTCAATAAATGTAAGTGCAACTGTTTGCTCTCAATGTGCTAACCTCGTAAGGGCTACTGTTTTCATAACATATACTTCTGTATTCTATGTGTTCTAGTGTGCCTTGTCTTTGTTCTCTTGTTTCACAGTTTCCTCTTTGTGAGTTCTGCGCAGCTTGCATATGGCACTCTGTTTTTGTGGGTATACTGTAAAGACATCTTTTTTTTTTTTTGGAGGAGGCAGAGTCGTTCATCTGTATTAGGCTACATGTTTTCAAAAGCAAACATGCAGTGTGGAGAAGCTCTTACCAAGGCACAGACAAGCACAGACAGGTTTGCAATAGCAGCGGCACTAATTTGCTGTCACTAGGGCTGTTAACTGTTTGATATAACGAGTTTATCTTAAAAGAAAGTGTAAATTTAAGGACTCGTTTTGTTTTTTAGACGCAGTATTAATGAGAAAAAGCATACAATAATGCCAGGGAAAGCATTGAGGATCTCATTAAAAGTAATTGTAGTGTAAATGTGAAGAAAGTGTGGCAGTAATTATGAACAGGATTGTGGCCTGTGCCTTAATCTACCAGTTCCATTACTGGTCATCCCTGCATGATACTCCCCAAAGCTTTAAACCATGCAACGTACAGTAGACTCTCAGTAAATCGAAATCTGTTAAACGGAACTGCTGCTTAAATGGAACAACTACCTCTGATATGGTTGATTTAATCCCCGCATACTGCACCCCAATTCACCTCTCAGTAAATGGAACTCCAGGTAAATGGAACACATTTTCCCGGTCCCTTCAGGTTCCGTTTAATGAGAGTCCACAGTACTTGTAGCTTCCACTGGCGTAAGAATGAAAAATTTTATCCTGTATCAATTGACATAATGGAAGTTTATGGCTGTTTAGACTTTCATTTTTTTTAATAGAAAATGGGCAATGCATTATAATTTGGTAAATGTAGTAATCTATAGCTTTTGACTAACCAACCATGGCAGCTTATTGTTTAAGGTGTAGCACTGCCTAGCTCAAGGAAGTGAGTTTCATTCCCAGCAGTGGTTGTTGCACTTTGGATGAGATTCAACACGTGGGCTTAGATTAATGTGTATGTCGAACAATTCCAGGCTGTCAGAAATAATTGTGTATCAGACCCAACGGCACCCCTCATAAATATTATAATTTCAGCATAATTATGTAATTAACTCTTTCACTTCTGGGTTTTTTCGGCACTATTCTGCACTCCCTGCCGAAGTTTTTTTCGTCTTTTGTATGTTATGTGGAAACATTGTGCTAGCAGTGCAGTAGGTTGCTCTGTAAAGCATGCGAACTGTTTGATTGAGTATTATCTTACGAAGTAAAATGTGGCAAGTTAACTACTACAACCAATTAACTAATGGCCAAAATCTATATTCACCAGTTCAGAGCGGAAAGGCAGAATGGTACTGCTGAGCCATTGTCAAGGAGAGGGTAACAAATGCAGTTGCAAAAACATGCGCTCTATATGTTTTCAGTAATTTTGCTGCATCCTATATTTCTTTATATGTGCTCCACATACATGGTGGGATGCACCGCCATTATCTTTCTCGATATGTGCTCCACATACATGGGGACACACACCCCAATTGATCTTCTCATTCAAGATTTGTCTCTCGAGTGCCATGAGGCGATTTAGGGAGGCAAAAAAAGTGTACTCTGATGGATCGGCAGGACTTGCGCTTGTGTGATCAGCCCGAGTTGCCTTGAGATTGGCAGTGAAAGGATCACCCTCTCTCAATGCTCCTGCATTGCTTTGGAATGTTTTGAACACCTGCCTATTAACCAAACGTATGTGTGTGCCACTTGTGTAGGGGCCTCTGTCGGCGAGCCTGTTGGGTGTGGTGCGGGCGCTCGGTGAGTCTCACTACGCACAACTGTGGGGCGGAGAAGGTGGCCGTGAGGGTGTGGCCTGTGCTCTGTCGGTGCTTCGGCGGCTACTGCTGGGCCCCACATTCCCTTTCGACTGGGCTGTCATGCGTGCACTCGCCAACCAGTGAGTGAACTTACCATAATTATTGTGCTTCTTAGTTAGAGATGGGTTGAAATACAGTCGAGCCCACATATAAGCCCCACTTGAAATGAAATTTCGCTTCAAACGAACAATATCCGCGAGACCGTGAAAATATGCATTGGTTTGATGGCACAAAATCCGCACTTAAACGAACGTCTCCGAGCACCACTGATCGGTTACAGCGAACAGGGTCGGCGCTCAGCCGACTTCCGGGAAATCACTTTCGACCACCGATCAGGCATCGGCAAGGTGCCCATACATTCTTATTGGTAAATGCTGACCCTGCCTCCGCGCCCCTCTAGTCGCCGCTCTCCCCGACCGCTTTTTGTTATCCACCCCTCCGTGCTTTGTCCTCCCTCCTCCGCTACCCTGAGCACCCCGCATCGCCTGATGAGGCCCGTGTTTTCATGCTGCCACTGATCTTTCAAAGACTGGTCGGCCATCTCCTCTGTTTTTGATCGCTGATACAGCTGTTGGCGTCGCCAGCCTGGGGTGACCAGGTCATTTGCCAACATCGTCAACCACCGTCTCTATCCGATCGTCTGCGCCTAGTGCACGCGCGTACGCTACCCCACCGACTTTGATGATTCGTCATTTGTTTTGTGTTTAGGACCTGCTCTCGCTCACTTCGCACTTGGCTCATTACGCCCTCCGCATGCGGGCGAAAGCATGAAAATGGCTGTTAATTTGCGCGGAACGAATCGGGAAATATCAGTCCGTGAGGCTACGCAAACCCGCCGGCGCAACAAAACGATTTTTTGACCACGACTGCAATTCTTTGAACAACACCGCGCGCGCCGATCCAGGTGGCCGTCCTTTGACTTCTGTGTGCAGAGGCACTCCTTCAAGTTATTCTACGCGCGCGTTTCGTGGACCTTTCAAGCAAGCCACCCGGCCTACCTCCTTCCCGCCTGTTTTATTTTTCAAAATCACCCTCCTGCCGTGTCCTCCCCTCTCTTCACTCTATCGAAACTCCTTGCCCTTCTTCTCCCGCAAATCTGCTCTCCTCTCTCGATCACAACCCCTTCGCCTGTCTCCACCGCTCCACGACGCCAGCCACGCTGACTCGAGTTAGTTTCGTTTTCTGACTACAAACGGGCCCAGAGGTGTTCCGCGCATTCTGGCATGCGTGTCGTGTGTGCGCGTCTTGCTCGCTCTTGGTGTGCTTGTGTGGTCAGGATGGCAGGCGGGAGGACTTGCATGCTTTTTCCTGCCGCTCAACAAAACATCGAAAGTGTGACCGCTTGGCTTGAGTAATCCACGCGTTAAGTGCCGCGTTGCGGAGCGCTTGCTCATAGCTGTTGACCACCTGGCAGCCAACTTGCCGCTTCGGGCGTCCCAGTATTCGGTTATGAAGATGACTATTTCGTGGGCGGTGGTGATGGCTACATGCGCGCGAAACTGTTTTCGCGAGGCCTGACTTCGTTGACGTCGGGCCCGATGCCGAGCCTGAAGCTTCTGAACAGGACCACTCCGGCGGCAATTTGTGCCAGCGCGTCCTCGACTCTGACCCGACAGAGCAGGTGGGACATCAGTTACGATGGTTTAATTACTGCCGATGATGATGCCGACACCGCAGAACCATGCACGGATTAGGACATTGTGAATTAAGTACGTGGCAAGAGCGATAGGGAGGAATTGGATTGCGAGAACGACAAAACTTTGGAGCCCAGTGCCTCATGCAACTTATGCCACGGGCTTCGGCGAAAAGCACGCCGCTGTTTTAAATAAACTCAAGACAGCCCTTATAGCTTCTGCTCTTCGAAACACGTGCATCACGAACTTTTTTGGGCAAAAAAAGTTTGTGTTTCACTTGCAACTTTTTTAACAGCCGAGTTTCATTTACTACGAACTTCGGGATACAGCAAACGGATGCTGCGTCAGGCTCAGGTTCGTTATAAGCGGGCTCGACTGTAGTACATTTGTAATTGTTATACGTTGCTTCAAACTTTAAACAAGCCTATGATCTTGAAATGAGCACTTACATGTTTGTGCGTGTTTCAGGTTCGGGGTGTGTTTTAACTTTGCCATGCTGTACTTTTACAGTTACCTGGAGGTTCCTGGAAATATGAAATGTTTCTTACCTACATCCACTGAAATCGAAAAAAAAAGAAAAAAATAATCACGTTATCACTCACAACATGACAGCTGGACATTGTGAAAGTATCCTAGGAATAAAGTAAATGCATCCTTAGTTCAGATTCAGGTGTGCTTCCACCTGTGGTGCTAGGAATTACCACGTGAAATGCAGAACCCCTATGGCTACGAGAGATGTCTGTGAGACACGTTCTACACCTCTCAACACGCGCATTTGCTGCCACCTGAGAGGCTAAGTAACAATGAAGTTTCACAGCTTAGAGAAAAAAGGTTGGTACTAGCAGTAAATGTTTTCTCGCTTCAGACTGAAAGACATCCATTGACCGTGTCACCCACCTATCCTAGTTTAGCCCTTGGGGCCCTGCAAGAGCTGGCGCAGCTGCTGGCATCAAGCTTCCTGCAACCACTGGATGTGCCTCTGTGGCTGCAGTACCTGCGGCTTGCCTCAGACTTCTTGGCACAGCCATCTCTCCAGCTGGAGCATCTCTCACCAACACAGAGAGCACGCCTCACTGAACGCTACGGTGACATGCGGCTGCTGGCGGGATTCCAGGTGTGTCGCTCTTCTGGTTTCTTTGTTTAGAAACTCATTGTGATAGCTTAAAGGGACACTAAAGAGGAACAATGACTTGGTTCAGATTTAGAAAATGCACTATGTGAGTGTGAGTGATTTTAAATGAAAAGAAGAGAAAAGAGTCCCGTAGCTGTCTCTCACGGGGAAGACACCTCAACAGTAGCTCAGGAGGGGTGGGGGTAAAGGAGGGATTAAAAGGACAGGATTAAAAGGTAAAGAGATAGAGAGAGGAAGGAGAGAGTGAGGCGCAGGGACAGCGAACGACAGAAAATGACGAAAGTGGAGAGAAGATAGGAAAGTCGGACACGGTCGTAGGAGTCCGAGGACGGGGCACCACTCGGCGAGAGCTCTTGTCCGCGTCAGGAGATGGTGTAGGGCGAGCCCGGTTGGCCAGAGGTGGGCTGTCGTTGAAGATTGCAGGGGCACAACCGGTCAGCACGAAATCCAGAGAGCGCGTCCCGCACTATGAGATCTCTAGTGCCATATGTTTCACAATTATAGGTTCATTATTAGCGGAAAAAATCAAGGTTGAAGCTTCATTTTTAAATATTATGCTAAAATCTCTGCCTGTGACATTAGAAATTTCAAAATGTATTTTTCGTATTTTCGTGGCATTGGCTCGATGAAATTTTTGGAAACTTCTATGGCACCCACAGATTACATTGTACAGTGGAACTTCGATTATACATCCCCAGCTTACGTCACAACCCGCATTTTACGACGAATTAGTTTGTTCCCAGCAAAATCCCCATAGAAATAATGTATTAAAGACCTTGGTTATACGACGCAGTTTTATGCCGATCCCGAATTTCACAACGGCTTTGAGATTTCATACGAAAGAAAAAAACACTTTTACTCGAATCGGGCGTTGAACAAATATTCACAAGTGAAAAATGTGAACTTGCGTTCACCTATGTTGACGATTAGAAAAGTAGAGAGTAAGACAGGATGTCTTCTTAGACTGAAAAATTTATTTTCCTGGAAGTTCATGCGCTTCTACATACAACTTGATTGCGTCTGCACATACCCGAGGTCGTTACTCAGCCAAGCTTTATCTACACAGAATAGCTTTAGCCAGCCGGAAAGCTGATATTTTCATGTTTTCATTCCTGGGAATTTTTTCTTGGTCGGCATACAGCTGATCTTCTGGCTTTGTCTGGCTCACATTCACAGGCTTGTACATGCGAAAGGGCCCGACGCAGCTGTTTTTACTATGCAAAGTTACTTTCACTTGATGTCAGCATTTATAATAACACTGGGACATCACTAGTTGCATTTCACCAGGCAACAAATTGCAATGCGCACAGCTCAGTCATGTACGAAGGCATTCTATGCAAACTCATGTAGTCCGTCGACATTATGGGATAGCGATGACACTGTCCCTGACTTTTCTGATGGAAAGACTGTTGGCAATGCGATTTCAATTTCACGTGCAGGTAATTTTGGGCTTTATTTATCGTTAGAAAATTGTGCATTGGATTAGATTTTTTGAAGTTGAGAATAAAGGTTTGCTCGCACCTCCTTCAGCTAACTAATGCTGTCATTAGCTGTCACTGGCAAAAATAATTTAATCTACTTTCCTCAGAGGCGCAAGGTCGTGTTGTGTGCTTATTCAGGTGGTCTGCACTTGTTTCTCGGGCAAGGCTCAGTGTTACTGCCTATAATCTTAGAGTTCCAATGATACAATGCTCGGATTATATGATGGTTTTGCGAAATCTCCAGTAAGTCGCATGATCGGGGTTCCACTTAGTTTTATTGATTGAAAGCTACGTAGGATGCAGTAGGCGTCTTCAAAATTTTTATGTCATGGTGTTTGGTACGGGATTCTCAATGTGGCGTTGCCACCCGCATTTTCTTTTGATGCATTTTCTCGCGTACTCAGCGTCATGTTGCGGTAAGGGGGGTGTTCTTGTGATGGCGAAATTGTACTTTACTGATAGACAAACAATTGTTTTCCTCTTTAATGACCCTTTAAGATGTTGTGCTACAGCAGTAGTGAAAAATGAAATGAAAAGGGAAAGAGCCGCATGCTTTTACACTCGGTGAGCTCTGTTCAGTGCCTCTGGTTTGCTTTTTGCATGCATGGGGTCATGCGACTATCGTCGGTTGGCTGTATCAGCCAGAGGAAATGTTTGCCGTTCAGAATTTTCTTTCATGAGCTCATGAGCAGACTGGTAAGTTGGTGAACCAGCAACACAAGTGGAGTGCTTAATCCACCAGGCAATTTGAGACACACTGGATGGGTGTACGGAAACCAGCAAATAAGAGAACAAAGGAAAGTATAGGGTACGTGGATTGTACTGTTTTGAGTGTGTTGTAGTAATTGGATGTAGGTATGTAAAAAGTAAAGTGGACGAATTGATGCGATTTGCTAGTGTCACTTTCTTTACATCTGTGTGACTTTTACTGCAGTACACCTAAAACAGTACAGTTAACATTCCTTATACTTCCTTTGGCTTCATTGTCCGCTGGTCTTCATTAACGCTGTATCAACCAAGGAAATATGCCCACAAAAATTCTCTTACTGGGTGGGTTTCATATTTTCAGGTGCAGTTGTATTACTATGCAGCCTGATTGCAGTTTGGCAAAGCTTTACTTCCATCTCTGCTTACTATAGCACATACACAAAAGCATTCGTTTTCCCGTTTCGAAAAATCACACCCCCACACTGCAGAAGTGATGCCTCACTAAGCAGACCTGCCCCGATTTTGGCTTCTTAACAAACTATACCGCAGGTGCCTTCCTTTAACACCATTCATAGCTTTAAGTGCAACTAATGCATTGTTTCTGCAGATGAGGTCATCAGATGTGCGTAAACTCTAAGCAGGACCAACAATGCACGTATGGAAACATTTTGGCTAAGTGGAGTTGTACAAGAGGAGGAATTTTCACATTGCTTCTAGTCTCAGAAATAAAAACATAAACAGTGTCATATTAGTGGTAGATGATGTGATGAACAGGGCCAGTGGTTCGCTTCACTTTCACTTTATTACTGACACGACAAAGGATTACATGATGAGCTGACGACTTGTTCAGTATGCCACGATCAGTTCACCAGCTTCGCTGATCCTTCTGATAACCATCCACCATTTTTCAGAGTGTGAAGCAAAGGAGGCTTGCTCTTTGTTTTTTGTTTGGGCTTCTGCTTTCAAATGTTTCTTTTCCTTAAGGGGAGACACTGGTCTTGAAATGAAAATTTTTATTATCGGAGATACTGTAATGAAATTAGGTGTGTATATGTATTTCGCCCTCCTATTTTCAAAAATATAATTAATTTTAATGTACACCAACTAGTTATTAAATTGTTAGAGCATAAGTGAAGTCTAAGTGTATAATTTCTTACGGGTCATTAAGGAACTTTTCCTCAGTATTTTTAGGTTCTGTTTTTCAGCATTCAGCTGTAGCCGAAGACCTGCCTTGTGGAGTTATGCAAGTGATATTGTCACTGAGATACATCACCATATAGAAATTCTCAATTGCAATGATGCTCTACAATTTTGAAATTTGATTAGCTCAGATTATCGTTCATAACATTGAATATGTTCCTCTTAGACACAAAACAATAGCATAGCTCTACAGTCCTGTTTCTTGCGAGTTTGACGGTATAAAGTTTTGAAAAACTGCTTCACAAAAACATGATAAAAAGTTCTGTAGGGCTGGTCAGGCTGGCAAAAAATGTGAAGCTGAGAAAATGGCATTTAAAGTTTTGACATGCACTGCAAAATTTTCCATGAGGAAGTTTTACCACAAGTTTTACACATATGGTTTCCATTTATTCCCGTGCAAAACAAAAAATGTGCCTTATTCCACCCTTGTAATAATTTCTAAAAAATTTTTCTAATGTGGAAAGCATTATCAGAACCCCGCCATGACAAGCTGTAGAGGGGTTCTGCAAAAGCTTGTGGGGTATGACACTCAAATGCCTAGCTGTTAGGCAGCATGCTGCCCTGGTTAATAAGTTTCTGTGTTCGTGACCCTCACGGGACTATGAAAATGTCCGAAAATCGGGCATCCGTCTGGAAAAACGAATGCCTGCAAAAATGCCTTTTTTTGTAGGTATTTTTTTGCTGACACACAAGGTTATGGCTGTAGTGCAAAATTCTCATTGCAATCTTGTAAATGCATCGTTTAGGTGGCTCTGAAAACAGCCGCTTATGAAAAAAAAAAGAAAACGATGTGGCCGGTGTTAGCCACAGTGGTCAACACGTTGGCCCAAAAAAAGTCTCCTATTTTCTTTTGCACTGGCATACCGCTTGCCTGCAATGATGTCTGCCTCAATTTCAGTTACACGTCATACTGCCGCTGTTCACTGATGACAGTGTCATCAGTGCTCACGTCAACTCCGAGCTCGTTGGCTGTGTAGGTGCTGCCGAAAATCGGATGGCGAAGGCTATAGGCACCATTCAGTCGAGTTTTTCAGTCTGACTGCAGTGCCAGAATAGATAGCCTAGCGGATAAAAAAAGCAACCTTGAGACAACATCAGTGAAAATGGAACGCGACGCGCACGCCTGGCGCCCTGCATCTGTTGGTGTATTGTGGCCGGGATACATGGGGGACGAGCGCATGCATCCATTTTCTGCGTGCCCTTAACGGCGAATGTGAAAGATTTTGAGACGGGGCAGTGTGAGCAACGCAGCTCTCTCTGGTCAGTGTGCGGTGCCTATAAGCGCTGAATCGAAGGAGGTAGAACTTTTGGGTAGCCAACTTCCCCGACAAAATGGTCTTAGTTTGTGCCAATTTGTCAACTCACTGCGCCTGCTCCGTCGTTGAGTAGTACGCAGCATCAATTCAAAGTGTATCGCTCGTCGAACTTGGTCCCACGGCATCGTCAGTAGACAGCGTCGTTAATGCTTCCGGCAGATCCAACAGGTCTAGCCATGATTGCAACTAGCTGTCAAAGGGCACTTGTGGCCGGCGCCTTTTTGTTCCGAGGCCATTTTTACGGCTTTCAAAAGCTCGTCGCGTCGGATGGCTTCAGACGAGAGTCTCCAGGTGTCTCGATCGCGGTGAAAAAGTACAGGTGCAAAGCTGAAACACGGTGCATCGAGAAACACGCACGATTGCAAATGCAGATGCACACAAACAAACAGTCACGGCGGCGAATGCAACACAAAGGAAAAGAAGACGCGTCGGTCACCCCAGTCGTTGGAAGACTCGGAAAGGCGCACTTGAAAAGCACGGCGTGTGAGGGCCAATCAGCAATCTGGAAACGACCTTCAGAAAACCCGCGACGGCAGCCATTCCGCTTGAGCGACGCTATTTGGAGATGGCGCTAAAATGTGCACAAAAAAAAAAAAACCGGCTTCCAATCTAGCCCAAGATGGGGAGCGTTCGGTCCACCACAACGCACACGATGCGTGCGGGAAGTTCGAACAAATTTTGTCCTTTTGGGGACATTTTTGTGTGACCAGGTTGCATTGAAGGATGATTTTATCGTGTTTTCCGAACAAATTCAGTGTTAGCAAATTGAGTAGGTGCTCAGAAGTATAAACTCCCTTGAAAATAAGCTTCACGAAAAATCAATTTTTTAACCAATTTTGACCTTCTTAGACCCGCGTCCCTCCTTAAACAAGCATTCCTCACTGTTGAAGAACGTGATGTGATTAAAAGAAAGTGGTAGGTTCGCTTACAGTTGCTACAGGTGTCTCTCATGCTGGAACGTATGCAGCGGAGACTTTTTCATTATTTTTTAGATTTTTTTATTCTAGTCATTGTAAACAAGGAGGGCAGGAATGGAAATGCCGAATGCTCACCTTTCTAAAGGCAACAAGACCTCCCATCTTTTACACTCTCAAAGAAATGGAAAATAAAAGATCGTTTTATGAACTATGGTGTTCCTTGCACAATCTCAACCTCCTTCGCTATCAGATGCTCTGAAAAAAAAAATGACATTTAAATACTGTCAACGTGTCATGATGGAAGTTGTTTCGGCATGGAGTAGATTAGGTATCGCAACAACCAAAGGCAAATGTTTTCTAAAACAGATTTTTTAGCCTCTTTCGTGATCTGATCCTCGCATCCCCCTAGCATGCCACTAGCATGTGCAACAAAGCACGTGCACAGCTTTATGCATTTCAGACGTGGCTTTACTGAGACATCTAGTACATAAAAGCGAAAATAATCAGCTGCCATAGACTTACAGTATATACTCGCGCAATGAATACACTTTTTTTCCCCGATAAACCGAAGCAAAGTTGCAGGTGCGTATATTATGCAAGGCAAGTTCAATGAAAACTTCTTGGAGATGAATAAAAAAGGTGGTAATGGAAAAAGAAAAGTTACGTCGCTTAGCCTTTTGCAATTGACATGTGTACAACTGTTTGGAAACAGCTTTTGGAAACAGCTGGAAACAACTGTTTGGAAACCGCTGGAAACTTCACTCATCTGCAGTGGTTGATGGCGCTATCTTCTGCAAGCTATTCCTGCGCTTCCCGTGCTCTCGATTAACATGTTTCACGGCTTTATTTTCCCGCTACTGTTTAGCCGCAACGGCGGTATGTCAGAACGCTACGATGCACTTTGCCAACTCTGTGGCAGCCTCACACAACAACCGCGCCGCTGCCGTTGGCATCGCAGCAAGTAACCTGCAGCAAGCTACCACTGAAGCATCAAAATAAATCGTTGATGAGACTGAAGCATCAAAACAAACCGTCGATGACAAGATTAATGACACCGAAGCATCAAAAATAACCATCAATAACAAGATGAATGACAAGGTATGGCCGCCTTCTCGCAGTCTACAGGAGAAGTGATAGTAGAAAGCGTTCCTTTAAGTACGTGCGGGTAACAAGCATGAAGAGCTAAGATCAACTGAAGCAAGAATAAGGGGTGCTACTATGTTGTGGAAGTCATCATGCTCTTTTCTGGGTGACATGCAATTTTTTCTGGTTGTCCAAAAACCTGCGACTTGATGACGACGAATGGCCCTTCGTGACAGCCATTGCGACAACAAATTCTGTCGTCGTTGCTCAAAAATCGTGTGCATGTGGTGGGCCTGCAAGTTTCGTATTTGTAGGATTCAATCGTTGATTGGTGCAGGCAGCTTTGTGACCTTCTCTCGCTTGTGCTTGTGAGCTGCGATGTCTGTACACTTGCACCGCTCGTTGTCAAGCTTGCTGCAGCGCACGGATAAATAAAAAGACAAGGGACTTGCCGCGCACAGATAGAAAGAAGAACAAACAGCGCGCGGCAGCGGCAGAAAGAGGGGGGGGGTAGGGAGCAAGCCGTGGTAATAATAAAAAAGAAAAAGATCTAACGGGCAAAGAGGCGCCAGGTGTCTGTTTGTGGGACTGCAGAGGATGAATGTGGGGGGGGGTGTTTATTACGCAGGAGAAAAAAATCCAAATTTTGATGACTGAAGTTAGAGGTGCACCTATTATGTGAGTGCGTTTATTAGGCGAGTAAATAAGGTATTGCATGAGTATTGAGCCAAATAAAGTTTGTGTTCATTGTTATGTACAAGCTGGCCTGCTTTTGGATCATAAAAGTTCAGAATGGTATGAAATTTTTTGTGCCAATGAGGCGTTCATATCATCATGGTCCAACTAATGCAAATTTTAATATCAGTACTTGCAGTGGCCTTAATTTTGGTGAGAATATACGTACAATAGGCCTTTCGTCCAGGATTGTTGTCATTTATTATAATAGGCTCTCGTAGTGTACTACGCAGTGCTGGTGCACTCTAGGCTACTGGTTTCAGAAATAGTGTTACGAAGAGTCGGTGCATGAACGTGCCATTAATGCAGCTACACCATGTAGCATAAAGACAAAAAGGAACTGAACAATGTACAAGGTGCTGTCAGCCATTGTTTTGACAGCAGCCTTGTATGTGCATTTATATCAAAATTTTCCTATGTTTTGTCTGTATTCGCGATCACTGGGACCATAGCCATGTTGTTGAATACAATAATTCTTGCGGCATATGTTCAAAGGATGAACTAGTCCTATGCTGACTTGCTTGGCAGCCCTGTAAATTACGTGCCCGCACGACGACTGCAGGTGCTGGCCCTTTGGGGGCGCCTGTGGGAGGAGGAAGGGGGCAAGTGCGAGCTGGTTTCGTCCCTGGTGGGGCCCCTGGTGCGAATGACGCTGGTGCGGGAAGCCGAACTTCGGAGGGCCATGATGCCCCTCTTTTACGACCTCATGGACAAGGACCTGCCTAAGGTGGGTTGCGTGCTCACTTTTTTTTGAACCGTCTGGTCATTAAGACAGTGTAATGGTTATATTTGGAAAGGACACTAAAGAGTGAAATTATTTTTTTTTGGTACTAGTAAATTATCTTCGCACAATATCAGTCACCGTGCCTTGTGCAAGAAGACGCTTTTCGACAAATCTCACAAAAAAAAGTGTTCGCAACGCCACATCGAAGTTCACACGCCGATCACTACGGCATCATAGACTTTGACAGCATCAACGAGGGCTTATGTTGTTTTTAATCAATAAATAGGAAGTACACTGTCCTCTGTGGGGGCCAGAGCCCCGACATATCGTGTTTCAAAAAAATTGTCTTGTGAGGACGACAAAATACAAAAATACACCTTGAAATCTGTGGTGTTACACACGGAGACTTGTGCATGAAACTAAAGATAAAGATTCGGCTGTCATTTTCTTCATTACAAATATATGGTAGTGGAATAATGTGATTAGTTTTAAATTACAATTTAATAGCCTAAATCAATTCATCATTTAACTTTAGTGTTCCATTAAGGTCGCACTGTTTTTATTGGCATGACTTGTTATCATTAGTCTGGCAAAGATTAGGGATTTAGGAATGGCTACTACACATTGAAATATGTGCAAGAGTATGCATATCTGGGGCATTTGCTAACAGTGTAGGCTACTCATAGGAAGAGGTGAAAATTTTTTTAACATGGTGTGGGTGCTGGAGCCGGCGTTTTGACAAGCGGACTTGTTTTCTTCAAGGCACTTTTTTTCAGTCTTGAAAAAACAAGCTGAGAGTTTGACTCCAGTGACACCCCTAGTTCACATATTTTAAATGCGAAGCATTTCCTAGCGAACTTCGGCGACATTGAGTGTATCTATCTATCCATCCATCCATCCATCCATCCATCCATCCATCCATCCATCCATCCATCCATCCATCCATCCGTCCGTCCGTTCGTCCTTCTACGCACACACGCACGAATGTATGTATGTATGTATGTATGCATGCACGTACGAATGTATGTATGTATGTATGTATGTATGTATGTATGTATGTATGTATGTATATGACGCTATGATGAATTGGGAGACGTGGCCTGGCTCATACGCCATGTTTATTCCATTCTGCACTTCTTCCTTCTCTCGGCCTCTGCCAACCATCGCTTCATACGTACACATGATTCCCCCTCCCCCCGAAAGAAGGCATGGATTACGAACAAGAAAAAGTAAACAAGACAAGGTTGAGAAGTCACAAATGTCAAAATGCACAATTGGTTTCATGTCCCAGTGGTGTTGCGTAAACTAGCAAAACTTCAGAAAAGAGTGCAGCAGTCCGGTGAATAGGGGAGTTCTGGTGGGCGAAGTTGGCTGTGGCGTTCTGGAAGAAGGTAACCGCGTCTTGCAAAACTGCACTGACCATGACATGACTTGAGCAGCTGCGAGGAATGAACAAAGTAGGAAGTCCTTGGAGCACTTGAAGGTCGATTGTCGTAAGTGCCGAATCCTCGGTTGTACGCGCTGTATTCTGTGTCGCGGCTGAGACAGAATTAGTGCTTGCAGCCTGCGTGCACAAGAACTGAAGTTCAAGAAATTATGTCTATGTTCGGGCGCTGTACAAATTATAAAGTTCAGTCTCTTTCATAGTTTTCTGTGGCGTTGGCTCCGTTGTCGTAAACTAATGGAATGGTGTTTAAATTTTTGAGTGGTAGAACTGGTGACTTCTTGTCTTGTTCTATGTTTCCTGAGATTTCAGAGCTGTAATCTTAGGCGCAGTCTTGATATTTTGTGCCAGATGCGTTTCTGGCGCCGATCCCTTGTGCAAAGTTGCCTTGCTTCTTGAATTTGTTTTAAGAGGCTTGCTTTGCGTCGTCGTCCTTGTTGATGTGTTCGTTGGAGTGTCTGCGATTCACGGACTTGATTTTGCTGGCGTTGCTGACGTTGCTGTGGACCGTATTACGGTGGCAGCCCTTCTTGAACATCGCGCTGGTTTTCAGGACAACCTGATGGGGTCTCCAGTCGGCAGCTGGTAGTCTGTGAGCTGTTGTCATGCAGTTCAGGCAATGAAGATGATGCTTCAGAGTTGATAGAAAGTTCTTCAGAAGCTTTTTCTACACTGTTCACTACGAGAGGCTCTTGCGCATGGCAGTGTGCGACGTTCGATGCGTCTGAGCCTTCGGTGTTGCTTCGATTATCGAGTGTGTATGCACCGGACGGTGATGCATGAACCTGTGCGGAAGGAGCATGGCTCGACTGGGTATTTTCTTGGTGTGTCAACTAGTCTATCGTGAACTAGGTGTCCTTTTGATGCAAACGGTGAGCATCAGGAGTGCTTGGAGAGCCACGTGATGGAAAAACGGGTGGTGGACCACGTATGCGAGACGAAAAATGAAGTGCATGAGGTGGGTAAGCCATGTCTCGTGTCGTGTGCTGGAGTGACGCCTTTGAAAATACCGGCTTTCGTAAAAGAGAAACCTGGTGGAAAGCTTTGTCCTTGAGAAATAAGCGTGGACTGTGACGACCGAGTTTGGTTGTATGAAGATGGTCCGTAATGAGTAAGTCCTTGTCGTAGTCGTTAAAACGGGCAATCATCTCTTCTCTGATCTTTTGTCATGATTCGTCGTTTTCGAATATGTGTATCAGGTAAAACCTAAATGCCTCACCGATGATGTAGTCAGTGAAGTTGGTGATCATTTCCCGTTCCGACCATGATGCAGCGGCGGCATGGAGCTCGAACAGGTTGAATTAGTCCTGTACGGGTCCGTCGTCTGCTGATCCGGTGTACTTTGTGGTGACCCCGCTCTAACTGCAGTGGACGATCACCGCGGGTTCACGCTTAGCGAGCCACAGGGCCACTACTCCGTTTACTCGCGTGTAGCGCACCGCTCCGCACGCGCTCAACTAATAAGGCGTTTAGCGCGGCGCGGCAAATAGACAGTGTTCTAATGCAAAAGTACACAACACTTTATTGCCTCTGGCGGCACCCCGAACAACAGTACAACGTCCGCTCCCGGGACGCGGGTAGCAAAGGCACCCACACGCGGACGTTCACAATAAGGGTAAAACCGCGAGCACGTCGCAGCTGGCAATGGCGAGCTTTGACACGCCGGTCGGGAAAAGGTCCCTCGTGGCTATGCTGCGCACTCTCACGATGGCCAATGGGCCTGGTCGCGAGTGTTAGGGCAAACCTCGTACGCGTAGGCCTACGGCAAGTGCGGCTCGTTGTGGTACGACCACTTCAAGCACTCGGCACCGCTGTGGGCTTAGCGTACGCTACCGAAGCTAGCACTCAAGTAAACACACCTGCCGAGGTGCCCAAGGCCACCCCAGGAAGGCTACAGTCCGGCAATTCCCAAAGGGGACGCGGACAAAGGAAAACACGTGCTTACCCGGCGCCGACCAACGGAGAAGAGAGCGCTCCCTCGGCGCGCGCGTACCGCGTGCCGTGCCCGCACGTGGTGCCATCTATCGCCACGTGGTGTTAACAGAGCGGGAAGGCAAAAGGGTGTGGCCGTGTGGCGGAATGCTCGCGAAATGGTCGCGGGCGCGCCTCAGATCCCCACATCCTCCTCTCCTTAATGCACCCTATATACCGGTCTGCAAAGGCAGCCGGTCGTCGCCCATGCATGCAAAGGCGTCATGCAATGGGCAACAGCTAGCCTCAGCCTCGCTCAGCAACTGCTGCTGAAGAAAAAAAATAAAACAGCACAAGAATACACTTGACAAATACAATGGCTCCGCGGAAGAAGGGGTAACGGGAGTTCATGATGCTCACGCAAGAGCGCGTCCACGGCTCGGAGGGGCAGCGTCACGTAATGTCTGACTTGGGTGATTGCGTGGATGCGAGAGTTCAAGAGGAGGGTTCTGGTTGAGGCCTTCATGCGAGGAACGGGCTCACCTTCGTCTGGTCGATGTTGACGACAGCCCTGCGAGTCCGACGAACGCCGCCTCTGTGGAGGTTCGGATGGACCTCGCTGCGACAGCCGGCCTTTCTGCTGGAATAATGGTCGCCAAATATACTGGCTGCGGCGTCGGTCGAGTCGTGCACAGCGTCTGCGACAGCTGGCCTCGTGCAGGTCTCCGAACACCTCCAGAGTCCAAAGTGGTGTAGGGGTCGGTGACTTCCTAATTGTCGCCACACGCACACACACACGCACACACACACGCACACACACCTCCGATGGTCGGGTCTCTCCAAACGCGCACCGCAAGGGAAGCGCAGAGTGTCATTTGTCCCTCTCCCCACGCTAAAGCACCAATTCACAATCCCCTCCTCCAGCGAGAAGAAAAAAAAGAAAACACGGAAAAAAACATCAAGTAAACAACAACAATCACATGACAATCAGCAGCAGTAACTGGGCGGAACCGACTTCTTTGCAAGCACTGGCTGTAAAGAAGTTAGCTAACTGAGACTAGACAGTAAAAATGAGGGCCTTCGGTTGCGGAAAATAAGCCCGCCGTCCGGCGCGAAATCACTAAGGTGACCGCTTTCTCAGATTATACCGGTGCATGGTCCGAATTCGGTCCGCCGCGCCGGGTGTGCGCTGTTGCTTGCGCGAAGAGCCACGGGGCGTTGGCGCAGGCTCGTCAGACCTCGACGCAAAGGCTTTCAGGTCTGCGATATGGGCACGGCTGAGTTTTCCCGAAAGCGGGTCTTTCAGCAAGTACGCGAGTGGAGTCCAAGCTTTTTCCACTCGGTACGGATCAAGCCACTTTGGAGCGAGCGAAGTTGAGAAACCCTTGCTCGCGTCGCTAAGAGCGTGGTTGCGCTTCAGGACGAGGTCGCCCACCTTAAATGAAAGGTGGCGACGTTTTCGGTCGTACTGGGCCTTTTGCTCGGCCCTGGCCGATGCCAAACTTTGCCTCGCTCTACTGAGAGCTCGACAAAGCCTGTCCCGAAGTGTGGAAGCGTAAGCAGAACAGTCTGCCGGTTCTTCCTCGTCTCCGAGCTGGCATTGCATGACACTGGTCACCGGATTTGCCAACTCCCTTCCGAAATTAAG